CATAATAGCTAAAAATATACAATACACAATAACAAAAAAATTAAATTAATACAAAAAAAATTAGGTACTGCAAAGAAATATTAATAGTTTAATAAATTTTGTATCGAAAAACATTAAAAGAGTCGTGGTGAATACCTACTACATTATTATAATTATTTAAAAGTATGCAAAGTCTGGGTATTGGGGAATTATATCCTAGTACAGTTCTAGGAAGTGGCGGCGAAAGAGGAGTAATGTGCTTACGAGGATATCTAATTGGGATACGAAAATTAAATTTACTTAGTAATAAAGGACAATCTAACTTATTTATAAATGTAATGGATAATGAAACATCTGTTACATTTCCGTCTTTCGAATGATATTCTCCTGTGGATTTACGCCTCCATTTCACGGCTGTGATGAGTGATTGTTCGTTAATCACTCTTCTATAAAGTAAATGAATTTAACGTAAGACAGCATTAAATTGTTAACATTATTGTGATGAAAAGCTGCAACTTCCATAAAAATTGTTATTGCAACTTTTAATTAAACCAACTCATTCAAAAGTGTTTTACAAATATGGCCTATTAATCATCATCCTTTACGTGATAGAGCTACGCTGCAGTCATGTTATATTTTTAACATGAATAGGTGAAACCAGGGAAGTACCATGGTCTCACAGAATGCCAGCGTAAAATAGCAGCTTTATGCTTCTGTGTTTCGTATAGAGTGTAGATATCCGGAGACCCTTTTTACTAAAATGGAAGCATCCCATCTTAATCCTCAAGGATAACAACGCATCTGCATTTTGATTCTTAATCTAGGATACATATAGATGTCGATGCGCCACAGCATCCACTTACCAGCAGGTGACCTGCATGCTCGTTTGTAACCCTTAAACCATAAAAAAAAACATAATCATTACAGCGCATCACAAGTCCACTACGGAATATAGACCCTACAGAAAATGCTAAAATGCACGGTTTTATTCCGGATATTCTCATTTCTAAGTCTATCACGCGAAGAAACCGCGAGCATAACCCTCTCCAAAAACGCCAATCGCGTTTTTTAAATAAAAGTAACTACTGCTTAGTCATGTGGGAACAAATAAAGAATGTTACATTTTAATTACCCAATGAAACGCAAAGTGCTCTTAAAAGTAAAGAATAACCAAGAAAGTTTATCTGCTTTTCCTGTTATCCATTTTTGGAGTGAAGGCAATGAGTTCGAAACTATTTATGGATATAATGTACGGAACCTTTTATTACTGGTGTAATATTAAAAATTTGAAACGACTACCTGAGTATATTAATGACAACGTTGCTTGCAACAAAGAAGGAAAACGAAGATAAATGTTGATTCGTTTCACATACCAGTTTTTTATTTATAGGATAGTACACAGTCCACCTGATGGTAAGTAGTTGCTGTGGCCCATAGACATCTACATCTATCCTCGATTATGAATCAAAATGCAGATACGTTGTCACCCGTGAGGACTAAGATGGAATGCCTCGTTTCCAGTAAAAAGATTCTCCGGTTCTCAACACTCACCATACAAAACACAACAACATTAAGCTACTATTTTACGCTGGTATTCTGTGAGAGCATGGGCCTTCCCCGGTCGAGCCGACCCATTCGTGCTACAACTACACTACTAATATAACTGTAGCATGGCTCTAACACGTATAAAAAAGTTTCTATATTAAAGAAACATTTCATTCTTCATTTCGATCCGCTCTATGTAATTTATTTATTCATTATATGCGATCCAGGGTCAAAGTTGTTTTGTACTAATTATATGCTACTTATAACTCTAAATGTAACTTTGTTTAGTGCTGAAAAATAAACGTTATTATTATTATACCCTATCGACATTCCACTGGTGGACATAAGCTTCCCCTAAGTACTGCTTCATAAGGGTGATTTAGCCACAGTTGCCACGCTTACAGGCGGGTTACATACCGCAGTTTTTTGATATGCTCACTTGTTATCAGGAAGATGGTTCTTCTCATCTGCTGTTTTATTTCCTTGTATCACCTTTGCGATATGTAACTATATGTAGAAAAATATAAAAGAGGGGAGGGGGAAGGTGTTATTTTCTGTTTATCAACATACCTTTCTATTAATTATATACGAATTGTATTACAGATATGAAAATTTGTTTACTAAAATCCGCGTGAAATATAAAATTGTGTATAGGCATTACTCAATATGAAGGGTATTTTCCTTTCTCTCACAACTGCGTGCAATATCAATACTACTATTAAATCCAATACCCAGTGGCGGATAATAAGTACAGTATAAAACGAAATTTATGATGTTATTAATTAATGAAATTAATTGGAGGACCTAAGCACTATGCTCAATGACCTCAATAGTGTCTCCCAACGGATAGGTTTTAAGATGAACATGGACAAAACAAAGATCTTGTTTAATGTCCATCTCACACCTATGCTAGTAGTTGTTGGGAGCACTAAGCTCGAAGTTGTTGACGAGTATATTTACCTGGGACAAATAGTCCGACTAGGTAAGTCCAACTTCGACCGAGATGTCAATAGACGGATTCAACTCGGCTGGGCAGTGTTCAGGAAATTACGACACATCTTCTCGTCAGGTATACCTCAAAACCTGAAAACTATATTGTACAACCAGTGCGTGTTGCCAGTGATGACTTACGGATCTGAGACGTGGTTCTTCACTGCTGGCCGTATGAGGACGCTCAAGGTTGCTTAGCGAGCTATGGAGAGGGCTATACTCGGGGTTTCTCTGCGCGATAAACTTAGAAATGAGGATATTAGTAGTAGAACCAGAGTAACCGACATAGCCCAACGGACAAGTAAGCTGAAGTGGCAATGGACCGGCCATATTGCTCGAAGAACCGAAAATCGTTGGGGAAAAGATGTTCTCGAGTGGCAGCCTCGTACCGGTAGGCGTAATGTAGGGCGACCCCTCACTAGAGTGACTACCTGATAAGACATGCAGGATGTCGATGGATGCAGATGGCTCAGGACCGTGCTTTGTGGCATTCCTTGGGGAAGCCTATGTTCAGCAGTGGGCTTGTGAAGGGGTGTAATGATGATGATGATGATCAGTACAACTTTTTTTTAAACCCTATTTGGGCGGTTATTACATAGTTTATTAAGGCCGAATACGAAGAGAACTGGCGAAAATTAATGTATTTCTCTTGACTAGAACTTTGACCTGAAGTAATTCTAAGCTTTAAAACATTTTTGTAGGTTTGTTCGGGCCCTTCACAAGGTCACCGTCATTTTAAAATTTTAAAATAAATGAATATACCAACAAATAAAAAAATGTTAAGAAATGATATATAAAATTATTGTTCTTCCAAAACTCTGTGAATTTTAATTTAGGAAAAAATCTTTTACGTAAAAATGTTTGTATTGTCATTACGAAGGTAACTGCTATCTTAATTTTCGATACAAAATATTATTTGTTAACATAATTCGTTTTAATTAAAAACACCTAATAATAATATCGTATATTGCCAGATAAAAGTTTGCCGTAATAAATTACCAGGCGCTTCGACGTGTGACGTAAGGTAACAACAGTCGATGTGTCTGTAGCGAAAATAGTTAATTTAGTGTTTTATACGCGTTTAAGTGACTATAAATGTAAATATGGGTAGGAAAAGAAATAAATGTTACCTAAGTGGTAAAACAAAGAGAGTTTATCGCATGAACGCTGCTCGAATGTTGTATTTTGAGGTTAATACTTATATTTTTGTAAGGTAATTTTTTGTTTTATGCTGCCCAGGTTGCATTTTTACTCATTTACATTAGCCAAACTGATCATTTATACTTTTCTAGTTTCAAGTGAGAAACACTAAAAATGTATATATCAAGACCCAGTCGGAATGTATGTACAGAGAAGAATGTACAGAGTAGTGCAAGCACAGAGACCGCAAATAGTGTTATAGTCAATGTATTGTCCGAACGCATGGGGTAAGTACATTATTAAGAAAAACCGAAATACTTCGGATGTGAAGTGATTGACCAGTCGGAGTAGTCTTGTGAGAATTTACATACACAGTACCTATCCCCACTATGGGGCAATCACTGACTTTTTAGTTTTTTTTATTACGGCATCTTGTAAGACTCACAAGAACAAACATTTTCAGTTATATGAGGTTCTTTACGTACGATGCACCAATTAAGAAAAAAAATCGTTATCAATTCAATAACTTTTCGAACAATATTTTATAACGAATAAAGTACAGAATTTATAATCTATAGGAACTAATATTATAAATAAGAAAAATTTATTTAAGAAGTAAGCAATGCTCTCTGTGTTGTTCATTACTCTGCATACTCGGTCAAATATAATATAATCAAAGCCCGTACGGCTTTGATTATAGGTATTATATTGATATAGGTATACATGTCTATATAAACAAAGCGCAGGTACTGGCGGCGCGTGGTTTGCTACGAAACGAGCAAGGTCATTCGCGTCGTATTCGGCCTTAACGCCCGTTTGAGTTGAGTAACGAATAAGTTATAGGCAGCGGTTATAGGTATTATATAATTGAAAACCACACATAATTCGGATGATACTTTTTTCTGATAAGAATAAAAAAATTAGGTAATAAATCAACAATAAAAATTAAAACGTAATAAACTTCGCAACACATGTAACATTACTTGTAACTACTTTTTAATTATCATTATTAAAAAATTAATTCAATGCAAAATTTATATTTGTAATAGCATAATAGCATAATAGTTTTAAATAAGTTTTACAAAATAAACATAAATTATTTGGTTTAGTTGGCGTTATTATGCGATGGTGGACTATTGCGCCCTGTGTTATAAGTTCGTAGTACTATTATTTATTCTGTGATTATAGTAAATAATGGTGTCCGTATAAGAAGTTTAGAACTGCTTCATCCTGGTAGTATGCATACGACTTATTGACTGTTTTGTCTAAGGGCTGAAGCTCGTGCGTTGTGTTGGAAGGGAGACAATACAAAACTATGTCATTTTTATCAGCTTCATCTAGAACTTCTATCGACAGTGACATTTGGCGCCATCAAATATAAGTAAGCATTTTCCAGTGACCTTGTATTTCACTAGGTGGTTAACAAACTCCACAAACAAATCAGTAGTCATACTGCCTTTCAGTGCCATCCTGAGTAACGTCCCAGCTGGTAAGTTATCACATAGATCAGGTCTCTGTTTTTTTCCGTTAAAGAGGAACATAGGTGGTATCACAGTACCAATGGCATTCACGCACATTGTTATCGTAACATTTTCCGCGTGTTTAGGGCCAATGAGATTAATTCTTTTGCTTCCTTTCTCTGTCAGAACTGTGTTTTGCTTGTGTACAGTTATTTGGCATCCTTTTTCATCCATATTGTACAATTTTTCTGGATTTTGTAGGATATCCATCTCATTGTACAATTTGTGCAGTTTGTTAAATTTTTGTGCACGAGCTTGATTCATTATTTGCAGCTTTCGTTTGCTAATTGAGCGATTCCGCTTTAAAAATTATCTCAACCAATCAATACCAGCAATTGTTTTGGAATTATTGTAATTATTTTTTATTTTGTATGTTTCACAAAACATATATGCTTGTTTCTTTTCAATTTTGGCGTGAGGGGTACACTAATTTTAGTTAATCTTTTTATTTGTTCTACGAGGTTATTTTCGTATTCTTATTTAAAAATTGGTTTTATTCCCAAACGCATAACGATTGTGCCCTTTCTTCGCGGAATAGTACGTACATGCCTAGAAGCTGCAGCACGCTGAGACATTTGGCCTCTTTGAACAGCATTAATTGCGGCTTTCAAGCCTTCTCCAATCCACCATTGCCCCCTTTTTCACCCCTGGACCTGGTCGGAGCATTTTACTAACCTGCGTAATAATTAAACATACGAGTAAATAATAAATGTTTTCCCAAATTATAAAATTTAGTACTTAACTAAGTTTTATTTCTGATTTAGTTTGGTTTCGTACAGCTTAAGTTTTTTGGACATGATTAAGAAAAAATTTATATTGAAATAACATAATGAATATATTAAGCCTATAATACCCTTTTGTCAACTAACAACTCATATAGGCTAATACCGCCCAACTGTTTTTTACTGCGCGTTGTTATCCGGAAGGGAATTGTTATTCAATCCACGTATTTTAATACAATATTACAGAAATAAATTTAAAATATCATAGCATAGTCTAGGAAAGTTAGTAAACTAGTAAATATTACATGAAATATAAACTGACTTATAACTGACTTACAATTTGCTGGAGCAATTTTTATAATAGCGGTATTCACAACCGACGTTCAAGATGTGAAGCGCGTCACTGCCAAGCCTATGTAAATGCACATACCTATGTCTTTTGGGGTTTAAAGTGGACTACATTTAGAAAGACTCGACTTTAGACACAAATTTGTTCCGGCACTCGACGATGTGTTGCCGAGTAATATTAGCACGGCCGGTGTATACTCGTAAGGCATCGCCAGCACTGTCATCTGCATAACAATGAATGTTACTAATATACGAGTACAATATATCGAAGGAATAGCAAAGCCTTGTGGAACACAAGCATTCACAGGCTTGGAGTTATAGCATGCACCGTTGACTACGACCTTAATACTCCGATATGTAAAAAAACTGGTGACCCAATTACATAGTTTTTCGGAAGCCCATAGGAGAAAATCTTTGAAAAAAGAGCTTTGTACCACATCCGATCGAAGGCCTTCGCTATGTCCAAATTAACCGCAAGGGCCTTCCACTTGGTATCGACTGCCTCCGCCCATCGGTGATTCAGATAAACACAAAGATCACCAGCTGAACGACCTCGACACAAACCGTATTAATGGTAACTAAATAGCTGATGCCCTTCAAAGTACATCATGATCTAGCTGTTAATAACGTTAATTATTTTGGAGAATAATATATTTTTGGAGAATATATTGAGGTGATGGCGTAAGGTAGCTGGACGGTTCCGAGCGGTCACATTTTTAAGGATCGGGTGCACTAATTTCCAAGCCTTGATAATAGGCAAAAGATATGCGCGTGGCACGCTTAATTTCTCCTTTCTCCAAACTCTACGAATCGATGGCGCCACTATTCCCTACTCAGATACTGTCAAGAACCTAGGTGTTATTTTCGACTTCAATTTGACTTGGGGCGCAAGTGTTACGGATGTAAGCAGGAAAATATTTCACGCCTTTCATTCTCTAAAACGCGTTCCAAGTTTTCTACCTTTGTCTACTAAGATATCTATAGTCCAGACTCTTATCTTGACAATTTTAGATTACGGTGATGGCTGCTATTTGGATGCTACCGAGGAGCAAATTAATAAACTCGAGCGCTTGCAAAATTTATGTATTCGATAGCACTCGCTTTAGCACAATTGGGGGTATTCCACCAGGCCCACTTCACTTGTGGACGTCTAGGGCGAGTAGTTCTTTACGGAACACTGTGTGAACCGAATATCTTGCTCGAAGAATTCACACTGGGGGAAAGAAGGGGGTAGATTCCCCCGTTATCGAGAGTCGAGTTGAACGCAAAAAGAAAATCTGAAAGATTGGCTTTCGCCTTTGCGGCGTGGGCTAGGAGTCATCCTTTTTGCGCAAAGGGGGTAATGATGGCTTACAGAAACTTCCTTAAACAGCCTTGGCAAGAGACCAGAATGACTTCTTGACTGACTTCCCGATGAAAGGCGAACTAGTTTCTCGCCAATTCTCTCAATGGGCTTCGACTTTTTGAAGGAGTAGTATTTTTATCATAATATTTAAACATCAATCGTGTACACGAAAATACTGTTCATCCTCTGCCTGAAAGTCCATCTGGTTACAGTTAGTTAAGGACTTACAGTTCCTCTGATAGTAAGTGGATACTGCATCCATGGGCACCTGCAAGTCACTTCAAGCAAGAAAGGCTACAGATGCGTTGTCGCCTGCATTTCATGTGTGAGTGTGGGTTGACGATTTTTTTTAATCAGCCATCACATGGCAATTAAAGTTACAGTCTCTATATGACCCACTGTTGGGCACAGGCTTCCTCTCATTTCTGAGAGAGTTTTGAGGCAGGGAAATGATCGTCACGTTGCCCTAATACGTGTTAGTGAACATTGCATGTGTTCCAAATATATTTTTTTCTTATTTCGCAGACATGGAAGTTTCCTCACGACGTTTACCTTCACCGCTGAACACGTGGTAAATCAGCAATTAAAATAAGGCTAAGCGCTCATTGTAAATTTCATAGTATTCGGCCAATCCCCGCAAATCCCCGGTTCAATCCCCGCCGGCTACAATGAAATTGTTAATTGTAATTTTAGGTGCACATGGCAATTAAGAATTAGTATCATAATGCAAAATTGCTTACGGTGTTCACAGTCACAGGCACTATTAACCTAAAATCAAAATCGATCGTAAAATATCTGACCTACCTTAATAACCTGTCTTACGTTAACAAATTGAAAATACCAGAAACAATCGAAGGCTATGCTAGGCGCAACCAAAACTGGACATTGGTTAATAATTAGGCAAGTCTATTAGGTCGGCCTGCGCCGGCGCCCGCTGACTAGTGTTCTCAATGTAGAGTGCTTTCACACAAGACTGAATATCATCGCGACTTGCGGACGAGGTCTGAGCGCCCCGCGAAGCTCTATGTGAAGACGAGTACAAATTTACCAAGGTTAATATATTGCGACGATAGTACCGCGTGCGTAATTATTATGCTATAGCGCCGATTCAATTTTGTTTGCAACAAATGCGTGGGTAGGACAGTATGAAATATTTTATATAAGGAGGAATAATCTTAATAATCCTTTGTACTCGTTTTCATAAAAAGTCTAAACATATATTGAAATAATACTAGTTTTTATACTACCATACTATAGTACAGTTTAGTTACTATACTATGGTAACCGCGGTTAACTATGACATCTGGACGTTGAACATCTCAGTCCCCCCCGTGACCATGGGTGCTGTAAAGCTCCCGAAACGTCGGGTATTTAAAAAGTTAAATATACACGATAAATTCCGTAAAAACTCGTATTGTTTCAATGTGTAGTGTTCGCGTAAATATAAGAAATCATTATCTAAACATATATTTGGAGTGAAAAATGTATTCAGTATAAATTAAATATTAATATATAACACATAAAAAAAGAATCCAGCAAGAGTGTACCTCGGAGTCAAAATTCCCGAAACTCTGCATAATGGACGCCCACAGAACAGTAATGCATACTGTAACGGAAGTGCGTTTGCGTCAGTGTGAAAAGGCTTATGAGATTACCGGTATTTTAATTTCGACCCAATATTGCGTCTGCCTGCAGAATGTCTCCACAATCTACGCCAATCCTGTATTTGCATAACGACTATATTTGAACTACTTTTCCGTAATTTTCCGGCAGATATAAATATTCCTTTCTTGTGATTGTAGGAATTTTTATTATATTTTAACAGTGGTAGAGCCACGCGGCAGCTTTGCTGTCGCACGTATGGGCCGGCTCAAACCGGGGTGGTACCACGACCTCACAGAATACCGGCGTGAAGTGGAAGCTCTGCTTCCGCGTTTCGTCTGGTGAGTGCAGGTGGCCGGAGGCCCAAATCCCCCCCCCCCCCCATCAACATGGTAGCGGAATTCAATGATAGACTACCCCAGGAGGGTACCAGCACCCCTGGAGAATCCCTCGCTGAGCATCCACGACCATGTTTTTCCACTTCTGAGCGTGGGTGCTCAGGCTGCCCCGCGTATTCTGGGGGGGGCAAAATTCCGCTCAAGACTAAAACTGCTCGGGGCAAACGGAGCAACAAGACCAAGGCGACCCCTGCCACGCTGTCCGTGAATTTCTGCAATATCAGGGGACTTCACTCCAACCTAAACGCCGTCCACTACCATCTCGAGACGGCGAGGCCGGCTCTGCTCTTTCTGACCGAGACGCAGGTGTCCTCTCCGGCTGATGTCTCGTATCTCTCCTACCCGGGGTACAAACTGGAACACTCCTTTGTGCCTCGGGCTGGAGTTTGCGTTTACGTCAGAGAGGACATCTGTTCTCGACGCCTCGGCAGACTTGAAGGTTCGGACCTGTCCATCCTTTGGCTACGCGTAGACAGCGACGACCATCCGCGCATCTACGGGTGCCTCTATAGGTCCCACAGCGGTAATGCCGAAACAGACCGACTCTTCGACCACGTCCAAATGGCTGCAGATTCGTTGCTACAGCAGATCCCCTCCGCAGAGATCGTGATCCTCGGCGACTTTAACGCCCATCACGCCGAATGGCTCGGTTCACGTTTAACCGATCATGCGGGGAGATCTGTTCATGATTTTGCCTTGTCATATGGTCTGACACAACTGGTTACTTCGCCTACGCGGATTCCAGATGTGGAGGATCATGCACCTTCCCTGTTGGACCTTCTGCTGACCTCTCACCCGGACGGATATCAGATTTCCGTCGACGCCCCTTTAGGCTCCTCGGACCATTGTCTTGTCCGGAGTGTGGTGCCACTCACGCTGAAATCGCGGTTGCATTCTGCAGGCTGCCGCCGTGTTTGGCACTATAGGTCAGCCGATTGGGATGGGATGCGGTCTTTCTTTGCATCCTACCCTTGGGGGGCGGGTTTGCTTCTCGCCGGACGATCCCAACGTTGTTGCGGATTCTGTCGCTGATGTGGTACTTCAGGGTATGGAACTTTTTATTCCTTCCTCTGTGGTGCCCATTGGAGGCAAATCTCAGCCATGGTTTGGTCGCTCCTGTAAAATAGCATCATGCTATAAGCAGGAGTGCTACCAGGCCTGGGCTGACGCATCAGCGTCCAGGGATGTAAACACCAGCGCTCTAAAAAAGAAGTATAATTCCGCCTCTAGGTCCTTCAAAAGAGTCATTGCCAAGGCAAAGTCAGAGCACATAGGCAGAATTGGCGAGAAACTAGTTCGTCTTCCTTCTGGAACCCGTACATTCTGGTCTCTCGCCAAGGCTGTCCAGGGGAATTTCTGTCAGCCATCTCTTCCATCTCTGCACAGGGAGGACGACTCACTGGCCCACACCGCAAAGGAGAAAGCCGATCTTCTAGGCTCTTTCTTTGCGTCTAACTCGACTCTCGATGACGGGGGGAGTACGCCGCCGACCATCCCGCGGTGTGAGTGCTCCATGCCGGAAGTGCAGTTCACTCAGCGCTCGGTTCGCAAAGCACTCCTCTCCCTGGACATCCACAAGTCGAGTGGGCCTGACGGAATCCCCCCAATTGTGCTGAGGACGTGTGCTCCAGAGTTGGCACCGGTTTTAACGCGTTTTTTCCGGTACTCCTACTCCCTAGGCGTAGTCCCAAAATCATGGAAGACGGCTTTCGTCCACCCGATCCCTAAAAAAGGCGACCGCTCAGACCCGTCCAACTACCGGCCTATCGCCATCACCTCCTTGTTCTCCAAAACAATGGAGTCCATTGTAAACTGCCAGCTCATGAGGTACCTTGAGGATCACCAGCTGATTAGTGACCGCCAATACGGTTTTCGCCGTGGTAGGTCAGCTGGTGATCTTCTGGTCTACCTAACTCACAGATGGGCGGAGGCAGTAGAGTCCAAGGGGGAGGCATTGGCCGTTAGTTTGGACATTGCGAAGGCCTTCGATCGGGTTTGGCACAAAGCGCTTCTTTCGAAGCTCCCTTCCTATGGGCTTCCCGAGAAATTGTGCGATTGGATCACCAGTTTTCTTGCAGATCGGAGCATCAAGGTCGTTGTAGACGGTGCAAGCTCCGATTGCAAGCCTATTAATGCTGGTGTTCCACAGGGCTGCGTGCTATCGCCAACGCTGTTTCTTCTGCATATCAATGATATGTTGCAGACCCGTAACATTCATTGCTATGCAGATGACAGCACTGGTGATGCTCTTTACACCGGCCGAGCCAATATTTCTCGGGAAAACGTCTCCGAGTGCCGGGACAAACTTGTGTCTGAAGTCGAGTCTCTGCTGGACAGAGACTCGGATTGGGGGCGACTAAATCTAGTCCAGTTTAACCCCCAGAAGACACAAGTTTGCGCGTTAACCGCTAAAAAGAACCCCTTTGTCGTATCCCCTCAGTTTCAAGGCACTCCCCTTGTTGCCTCAGCCAGTATCGGAATCCTCGGCGTCGACATATCGAGTGACGTGCAGTTTCGTGGTCACTTGGAAGGGAAGGCCAAATTGGCCTCTAAAAAGCTTGGCGTGCTCAGCAGAGCGGGACAGTATTTCATGCCGGCACACCGCCTGCAACTTTACAAGGCGCAGGTTCGGCCGCACATGGAATACTGTTCCCATCTCTGGGCTGGGGCTCCCCAGTACCAGCTCCTTCCACTTGACCACATCCAGCGCAGAGCGGCTCGAATCGTCGACGACCGAGTGCTTTCCGATCGGCTCGATTCTCTGGCACTGCGAAGAGATGTTGCATCCCTTTGCATTTTCTTTCGCATATACCATGGAGAGTGCTCTGAGGAATTGTTCGGATTAATCCCAGCCGCCAAATTTCGTGAACGCACTACGCGGCAAACGTCCCGATACCATCCACACCATCTGGATGCTTGGCGGTCCACCACTGTACGTTTCAAAAGGAGTTTTCTTCCGCGTACAACCTCTCTGTGGAATAATTTACCACCAGCGATTTTTCCGGACCGATACGACCTGGGGACCTTCAAGAAAAGAGCTTACTCCTTTCTAAAGGGCCGGCAACGCGTCTGCAATTCCCCTGGTGTTGCAGTTGATCATGGGCGGCGGTAGTCACTTAACATCAGGTGAGCCACATGCTCGTTTGCCCCCTCTTCTATAAAAAAAAAAAAAAAAAAATTACCGAAACTTTGAACAACTTTTCTTTTTATAGGATAGGGTGACAAACGAGCACACAGTCCACCTGATGGTAAGTGGTTGCTGTGGCCGATAGATATCTACATCTATCCTCGATTATGAATCAAAACGCAGATGCGTTGTCACCCGTGAGGACCAAGATCGAATGCCTCGTTTCACATCGCAACGCATCTGCATTTTCATTCTTAATCGAGGCTAGATGTTTTATTTCAAAAGACTTTCTATTTCTATTTCAAAAGTTTTCGGTGTTATATTTCATTGCCGATGAAATTGTATTGAGTAGCATTAGCTTTAAGAACTAAATGTGGTCGTAAAGACACTAGGTATTTGTTTTTTATTGCGTTTAACATAAAATCTTAGTTATTTTTTTCACATTTACTTGCATGAAATCGTATATAAATTGCTTTATATTTGTTAAATTTTATAAAATTTTTGCCACTAAAATATAAAATGCACAAGTATAACTCCTTTTAGGTAATACTCTCTTATCTACTTCTGACTTCAAGCTGCAGTGCTTGGACTGCTATGTTCCGGTCTGAGGGTATAGAGAGCAAGTACAATTACAGGCTGTGTACATCACAGTCTTTTTTGTGAAATCGGCTATCATCAGTGATTGTTTTAGATCAATATGACTTAGGGATCTTCAAGAAAAGAGACTACACTTTTTTAAAGGACTTGCCACACCTGCGATTCGTGGTGTTGAAGATGTTCATGGGCGGTGTTAGTCACTTATCTTCAGCTGAATCGCTTGCCGCGGCTTGCCGTCTCCTGTTAATAAAAAAAGCTTCATTGTCACCCTTATTTTATAAAAAATATAATATATAATAGTTATCGTTAACAATCAATCCAGTCTTGTCTTTTAATGATGAATATCTTCACTGGTATTTCATATCAATAAACGATTTATTAGGATTTGACCATGCATACTTATTGATATTTAACTTAATAGTTATGCATAACAAAATGTCCAACTAGGGACGTCTAACAACTAAGAGGTCAACCGATAAACACAACTCGGCTACGCCGCGTTAGGGATGTTGCAACACATCTTTGCGTGGAGTAATCCTCAGAATCTTTAAACAAATGTGTACAACTAGTACCTGTTGCAAGTGATGACTTCTCAAACTGGAGTGTGGTTCTTCGCTTCTAGCCGTACGAAGAAGCTGAAAGTCTTTCAAAAATCGAAATATAACTGAGAATAGTATCTTATTGTGACGAGAATATTCGTAACACAAGAAGATTGAAATAGCTGAACGAATAAGTAAATCGAAGTAGTAGTTGCCACGGCCATATAGTTCGAAGAATTGACTACGGATGACACTGGCTGCTTTTGGACAGTGCGCCACGAGCTCTTGCAGCACATTGGCTCAGAAATGGATCTGTAATAGTGGAGACGAACTGTCCACTATTAACAGACTCCGAGTGGTTTTCTTCAAGGTGGAGAAATGAAACTACTGTTTATGTTTATGAATGTACTGTCGAATGGGATTCAGAATGGAATATTTTTTGCATCAACCTTGCCTATATTTATATGGCTGGCTCACTATTGATTTGCCAATGGTAACAATTAATATTTTGCCTAGCCAATTATATTGCTTATTTTATGACCAATGAAAACTATTTAAAATATACAATTATCTACGTTTCGTTTCCCGGCGTGAGACTTGTTTGTTGTTCACGAAGCTACGTCGCTGGACCGGGCTATATAAGACATGCAGATCGGTGCGCACGCGTCAAAAAATACAGTCCGCCTGTGGCATCGCTTCCGAGCGGTTGCATCCAGGTAGTCCGCGCTTTCGTTCCTGTACGGTAGTGCTCCCCGCTCTCGCGCCCCCGCTGTCCCGCTCGCGCTGTACAGCGCTGACGCAGTGCTCAGTCCGCCGGCGGCACCGCTCTCGGACGGTCGCCTCCTGGTGGTCCGCGCTCCCGTACAGTACGGTAGTGCTGTCGCGCTCTCACGCGCCTCCGCTGTCCTGCTCACGCGGAACAGCGTCGAGGCTGCTGGTGAGTCACTTTTCGCTACAGGTCTTGCCCCCCTGTCTTCGGGCAGGGAGGTCTGACTGACTTCCGCTTTTCATTTTCATTTTTCATTTTTCTTTTTCATTTTCACTTGTCATTTCATTTCATTTTTTTTTTTTACTGTCTTCTATTTTCTTGTGTTTTCTTGCATTTTTACTGTTACTATTACGTGCATAGTGTGTTGTAGTGCGTCCCGCGTTCTAGTCCCTGTTCTATCGAGAGCAGGGACCCGTCCTCATCTTTACTTTCTCACCTTTAGCTTCTTATCCTAAAATGGCCAACTCCAGTTTTACTGAGTCCCTAGCCGCCCTCATTACCCAATATGGGTTAAGTGGCAATGAGACGGTCCTCGCCGCCATCGCCACCATCGCCGCCCAGGCTCCCACCCCTGCCCCTCAGGCACACCTCCCGCCGCCGGTAATCGCATCTTACCTCGAAACGAGGAACTCTTTTGCCCAACTCGAATCTGCCCCCTTAGAAATGGAGTACGCATGCTCCGAATCCTCGGCGTCTACCTCCCGGAAGAGGCCCGCCACTACCCTAGGCTCCGGTTCATCGGAGTCCTCTGACTCTGACGGAACCGGTGAGTCAAACTTCACCACCGTCACCTCCAAGCGCAACGGAAAGCGCGCCGCGTTGAAACGCACCCCCCCTACTTCAGCGGCCCCTGCCGCTCCTTCAACCTCCGCAGCACTTGACGCTGCACCCGTCCCACTGATGTCACTAGACATCCCCACTCCATCTAAACCAGCCTCTCGTTGTGCTCCAGTGCTGGCGAAGAAGCAAGTCCCGCCCCCTGTCTTCCTAAGAGACAAGGCAAAGTTCACCCAACTGTCTAAGACCTGCTACGACGCAGGCATCAAATACGATCATGCAGTCAACCTCGGGGAGGCAATCAAAATAATCCCTACCTCGATCGAGGACTTCCGCGCAATCACCCGGCTATTCACAGCCGAGCGCATCTCATACCACACTTACGCTCTCCCTGAAGAGCGTAAAGTCAGGGCCGTCATCCGAGGCGTCCCCTTTGAGTTCTCCAATGAGGAAATCCTCGAGGACCTTAAGTCCCAAGGTTTCCCAGTGGAAGCAGTGCACAAAATGCACAACCGTACGGGCAAGAGATACAACCTTGCCCTCGTAATCTTGTCCAACGTGCCGGAGGCTAAAGCCATCTTCCGGCAGGTGCGCACAGTGTGCGGCCTGTCAAGGGTGAAGGTAGAGCCCCCACATAGGCCCGGTTTCCCGGCGCAGTGCCACCGCTGCCAACTTTATGGTCACGCGGCGGCCAACTGCTCCGCCCCACCCAGGTGTGTAAAGTGCCTGGAGCCACACAACACTAAAGAGTGTCCCCGGCCCAAAGACGCCGAATCCCCGCCCGCCTGTGTCCTGTGCAACCAGACAGGACACCCGGCGAACTACAAGGGTTGCCCACGCGCACCTCAACCTCGCCCCAGTAGGAAAGCTCCACCGCCGGTGAATGACCGCACTTTCCCAGCCCTCCATCAACGGCCCCGTCAGGGCCCCTCTCAGCCTATCCAGGGCTTCTCTCGACCCTCTCAGGGTCCCCCTAGGCCCCCTCAGGGTCCCCCTAGGCCCCCTCAGGGCATAATTCGGCCCCCCTCCGGGCTTCTCCAAGCGAATGCAGCCTCCAGTCTTTCCCTGGGGGCCCAAAAAGGCAGACCCACCGAGGACAACCTCGTACGCTCATGAAGCAGAGCCCACAATCGACGACTACAACACGCTATATTCCGCTATTAGGAATATCGACGTTAGGGAAATAACAGTTGTATCACGCAAACTGCGCGCGGCCAAGTCCCCCCAAGAACGTCTCCTCGTTCTTGCGGAGCACAATAACCTTTTGTTAGCGTTGTAAGTTAGGTTAACTTAATTAACTTAACTTCAATGACTGAGAGAATTAACCTACCTAGATCTCACGGTCGTATCAAACCTAAGGGTTTATCGCTTGTATCATTTAATATTCGCGGCTTGCGAAATAACCTCCCAGAGCTCAAGCTCTTTCTTCGGAATCGTGAAGTCGATTTCCTCCTCCTACAGGAAACCAATCTCAAAGATAAGGACACTAGAGGCCTTTCTATTAAAAACTTCTCTCTTCTTCGTAACGACAGACCCGACCGCCGAGGCGGCGGAACGGCCATCTATTACAAGAAGACACTTCATTGCTCGCCCATTTCTACTCCGCAGCTTACCAACATGGAAGCCACGGTATGCAGGCTAGCTATGACTGGACATCAGTCCATCCTCATAGCCTCCTGTTACATCCCTTCAGGAACCTATCCCCTCAAAAAGGATTTTGAGGCCATTTTATCTTTAGGCAATTCAGTCATTATGTTTGGAGATTTTAACTCCAAGCATACTGAATGGACATGCCGCACTACGTCCCCTAGTGGCAAGATACTGCTCGATATCACGCAGTCTCTTGATATTACCGTCCATAGTCCTCTCGGTGTTACTCACTTCCCCGATAACACCGATCACGCCCCCGATGTGTTAGATTTTGCGTTACTCCAAGGAGTTTCTCTCAACCTCGGAGCAATCGAGACACTAGACGATCTAGGATCAGATCACCGACCGGTCTCCCTCATTCTTGGCCATCAGCCACCTCCCCCAACACACACGAAAACCTTCACTAACTGGAAGGGATTCAAAGAGTCCCTAGCTAAAGCTCTGGACTCACAGGACTCTACCATCTCCCTATCGTCGGACTTAGATAGTCCCGAAAAAATCGACACCGCGGTCGACTCACTCTCCACCCTTATTAAATCCTCCCTTAAGGAGAACGAAAGGGTCGTCCCGGTTGCTAACAACAGTGGGCTTCCCCTACATATTAGCAACCTAATAAAAGCCAAAAAAGCTGCTTTCCGGAGAGCAGCAAAATATCCCACCCCAGAATATAGGCGCGCGGCCAATCGTCTTCAACGAAAACTCCGCTTCCGCCTCTCTGAATTTCAAGATCTCGAAAAGAGTAAGCTCATGGAGAATATCTCTCCATCTCACACAGCGTACTATCAGATGGCTAGAGCCCTCCGCATAGACGCTATCACCCACACTCCCCCTCTCTCCCGTCCCGACGGCACGGTTGCCTTCGAGGACGAGGAAAAGGCTGAGTGCTTTGCAGATAGCATTGCCGCTCAATGCTCTCCCAGTTCTCACCCCGTCGACCCCTCACATGTCCAGGCAGTGGAGGATGAGGTCCGCCGCCGGAGCTCACCCCCCACGGCCTCTGAACCTATCTCTGTGTCCAATGATGAGATCTCATCCCTCATCAAAGGACTTAAGCCTAAAAAGGCTCCGGGCGCGGATGGCATCTCCAACCAAGCCCTAAAACACTTTCCCGAGCAGGTGTTAACCTTTTTATCTATTATCTTCAACGCCTGCTTCAACCTTAGTTATTTTCCCACTACGTGGAAAGAGGCTACTGTGATTGGAATTCCCAAGCCAGGCAAGCCTCTCAACCTCCCCCTCCAGCCATCGCCCCATTAGCCTCCTCAAGGCAATGGGCAAGCTCTTCGAAAGAGTCATCCAAAGTCGTATGAGGCGCTACCTGTTTCCCACAGACGGCGACCCTCTTATCATTCCCCATCAATTCGGCTTCCGAGCCAAACACTCATGTCCCCAACAAGTTCACCGCATTGTGGAATATATCCTCAGCGGTTTCTATCCTCGTCGTCATAAGACCATCGCGGTCTTTTTCGATATAGCCAAAGCTTTCGATAGAGTCTGGCACACAGGCCTTATCTACAAGCTCTATAAAATAGGTCTCCCCGATCGTCTAGTTCGTCTCGTGGCCTCCTATTTAAAACATCGTACCTTTCGTTTCAGACACGAAGGCACGCTCTCTTCACAGCGAACTATCAAGGCTGGTGTCCCCCAGGGCTCAGTACTTGCTCCTCTGCTGTACATCCTGTTCACCAACGACATTCCCATCCCGTCGAAAGGTGTTCAACTCTCCCTCTTTGCAGACGACACTGCCATCTACTGCAAAGGTGTCTCACTACCCTTCATACGGAACAAGATCCAAAAGTCAGTTGATGACCTAGGAGCTTGGTTCAAAAAATGGCGCATCGATGTGAACCCGGAGAAGAGCTCCGCCGTTCACTTCGATTATAAACGACGCCGTCTCAAAAACACTCCTCCAATACGTATGCTAGGGACCCCTGTCCCCTGGCATACGTCCGCCAAATATTTAGGTGTCACTCTAGACACAGGGCTTACTTTCAAGCCCCACGTCAAAAGAGTAACCCGTCACGCACGATTTTATCTGAGTAGGCTCAACAGTATGTTGGGCCGACACAGTAAAATGTCCCTTCGTAACAAGCGTACACTCTACAAGGTATGTATACGACCAGTCATGTCCTACGCGGGCCCCGTCTTTGCCCACGCAAACCCTAACATTTTAAATGAACTCCAAATAGTTCAGAACCTATTCTGTCGTCGAGCTGCGAACGCACCGTGGTACGTCCGCAATGCCGACCTTCATCGGGACTTAGAGCTCCCAACAATTCAACAATTTCTTAAAAAACTCTCTGAGAACTTCTTCAAAGCCTCAGAGTCGCACCCAAACCACTTAATTCGTGAGGCAGCTTCTTATGCAGCCCCACCCCCCTCTCGCTATCGTGTCCGCAGGCCGAGAAACTCTCTCTCGGACCCGCCTAATAAACTTTCAAACGACCTGAACTGTCTCCTGGCAGCTCAGGCCAACTCTAATTAAATAAAATTATTGTAATATCTGACATTAAATTGCCTTCGTAGGCACTCCCTCAGCGGCACTTAGCCGCCTGCGCCCTCTTTTCCCAAAAGAGGGTCGCTCATGATAAGGCACAATAGAGCTTAATCAGCCGGTTGCCTGTCCTTAAAGGCGGTTTTTAGGGGGTATCACTTAGGGTCCCCGGTAGGACAGTGAGTCCCCCATAACCACGATAGACCGGCTATCGTGGTATGCGTAATGCATTTTCCGCCTCCCTACGTACAGGGTAGCCCTTTAATTGCTTCGGGCGCAAAAAAAAAAAAAAAAAAAAAAAAAAAAATGCGCACGCGTAGTCGGCGGGCGGCGGCGGTGTGGAATACAGCTCCGGAACAGCAAGAGGAAACGAACTGCGGCGTTGAAGAAACGGCTCACCATTGGTCGACGGATACGTGACGATAGCGGCGTGTGAAGTCGGTGTGGCGCTGAATGATATTTGCGGCTGCTTCTTGTTTCTTTATAAGAACGTCAAATTATCTATATACAGTCCGCAGTATCTCAGTAGCCGAGAATAATTAGGAAATAAAATGTTTTTTTATTTATTCTCGCCTTCCGCGTTATGGTAGCAGCGGAGTATATATTATTTATTCCCGTTTCGGTTTGATTAATCTGGCTGCTACATCACTCTCCCCCCAGCGAAAGCGTACCGGAGGCTTGACGACTCGCCCGTATTTCGTAGTTTTTAAAATAGGTTTCAACTGGGTTGATGTAGATGATGAAGTTTCAAGCTTCCTCGCTGGTGGTTTTGATGATGATGATGAATCCTCTGCAGTATCCTCGTTAATAATATAGGCAGGCTTTAGTCGGTCGATCGATATAATCGTAGATTTCCTTCCGGGGATTTGTAGTTTAAAAGTCTTGCTATTTCTCTCTAATACTTTATACGGTCCATCGTAGGTAGGTTGAAATTGTTTTTTCATTGCGTCGTTTCTTACAAAAACTTGTTTACATGTTTTCAAATCTTGGTGAATGAATACTGATTTATTATTTCTGTGTGATTGCATTTCGGTGCATTTCAACGATAAGGCTTTGTTAATTGATTCTCGAAGTTTAGTTACGAAATCGTAATCCATTTCTTGTTTGTTTGACGCTGCTGAACTGAAGAAGTCACACGGCAGCCTTATGCTGCAGCCGTAGGTTAGCTGAGCGGCGCTAAGACTAGTGTCTGCACGCGGTGTTGCTCGTAGTCCGAGTAGCACTGTAGGTAGCTCATCAATCCACTTTGTATGTTGAGATAAACGAGTTTTGAGTGCAGTCTTTAATGTACGATGCCATCGTTCGATTATTCCGTTTGACTGAGGATGGTATGCTGTTGTACGCGTCTTCTGTATTCCCATAGTTTGAAGAAGTTTGAGGAATAGGTTGCTTTCGAAATTCCTTCCTTGATCCGTTGTGATGGTTTTAGGTGATCCGAAACGAGTAATCCAATTTTCATAAATTATCTTCGCGATGGATTCGGCTGAAGTATCA